ATTTTCGGTTCTTTAAATTATTCGTAACACTAACGTTTGTATCCCAACAAGACATAGATTACACTAGTCTTACTTTGCACAACTTTTGGGATTTTCGGTTCTTGAAATTAATCGAAATACTAACGTTTGTATCACAACAAGACATAGATTACACTAGTCTTACTTTGCACAACTTTTGGGATTTTCGGTTCTTTAAATTATTCGAAACACTAACGTTTGTATCCCAACAAGACATAGATTACACTAGTCTTACTTTGCACAACTTTTGGGGTTTTCGGTTCTTTAAATTATTCGAAACACTAACGTTTGTATCACAACAAGACATAGATTACACTAGTCTTACTTTGCACAACTTTTGGGATTTTCGGTTCTTTATGCACTACATATTTGATTTGGCCTTCCAACTGTTATGATTCGAGCGCTAAGGATGAATCGCATATAAGCTACACGGTGCGTCTAGCGAACCTAATTATAAGCCTTTTATCTATGAGTTTTTACAAACACCAACCTGATTAAAATACTGATCCTGTGCCAACGCTTTGCTTACAAGGATCTGACAACGATCCGTTCTAATTTCTGTATTGAAAATTATTACATCAGCCAAAGAAATGCCTGCCTACAAATTTTTCAATAGTGTATCAGTACGACAAATCCAAAGCATCCGAAAGGTCTAAAACAGAAAGTAAAACATAGTTGTCTGATCCTTGTAAGCGGAACGTGGACACAGGATCTGTATTTTAATCAGATTATAAAAACACGATGTCGATGCGACTGAAGGTAGACGTTTCGTCCCCAAGGGTATCACCAGCCCAGTAGTCACGACTTAAATGTTGACATATAATATCATTGATATGATGATTTTCTGTAAATTAAGTGTTTACTAAATGTTGAATTAGTCGAAACACTAAGGTTTTTCTTGTATCTTTGATGAGTATTGTCACAGATGTTCAGAAAGGATATAGAGACAACAATGGATGTAGCATTTGGAATACAGAAAGACAACAGGTAGAATTACATCAAGGGCCTTTGAAAACGGGTTTTGTAAACAAAATATTGCGGCTAATGCAAAGGAAAAGCATGACAGAAATAGATAAAGAACAACTTCTAGTATGACAGAAACTACCATTCAGATGGGTCAATATCCATAATGGACATAGAAACGAGGAAGACGGTATTTTAAAAGATTCAGAATTTGTTTCCGAACCTCTCATTTGACTGCTATGTAAAATAAAACTATTCCATTGAAATAATTTTCAATATTAAATACTGTTTAAATTAATATCTCGTTGTGCTTCTTGAATTGTACAATGGTTTTTCAAAAAAAGATATATTATTTCTAATACTACTGACTGAAATATTTGTAATATATTTTCCCTACTGTTAAAGCATTTCACAATATCTACAAATCATTTTTTTTTTTTAAATTTTGACAAATATTTTGAAACGTTTCAAAAGAGTAGATCTATTATACACTAACATCGTACAAAATTAACACCTGGGAAAGTTCTTTTGAACTGAGAAGAGATAAAGAATGTTTTTAATTTTACTACTTAATCTTTTTACATATATTTATGTCTAAAACGGAAATTCGAATTCACAGCCACTGACAGAAAATCGAAATGGGCGAATTGAGCATTTTCAAATTTATTGATGACATTTATAGACTTTTGAAGAAATTCAGAAGATTGATGAATACAGTTTGATAATTCTATTGCTTATCAAATTTGATGTAAACAATTTCAGTGTATCATGATGTAAACAATTTCAGTGTATCAGTAATGGTTTTCAAGATAGTTGGTAAATGTCAAATGGCCAAAGAAATCGCTATTTAATGGCACTTCTTATAAAGAGTCAGTTGATTGTTCAAGTCACCATAATATTTTCTATAACTGATGGATTTTACTGCTGATTACAGAAAGTAGATTGTCATGTTGTAACATAAAACCCCAGAGTGTTTGACCTGCACTTGACACCTTGCCTTTCACAGAAAATAAATGGATTTTAGGATTTTTTTAAAATCTTTTTGTTCTCTATACCATAGTAACATAATTATCATAAATTAATTAATGAACCTTAGTGAGCACGCTCACATACCCCACGTCCCCACATTGTCACTGGAGAAATAAAATAACTGTAAGAAAAAAAAATTGTATAAGAAAAAAAATTGAATCATAATTTCCTGTCGATATGCACATCTACATAGTATGTCCTTATTATCTACAAAGTTTCATGAAATTCTGTTGTGTGGTTTCAGAGGAGTTGCGATGACAAACTGTTGCAGAGGTATATTGAAGCAAATAAGTTAAAAGGGGCGTAACTCCTAGAAAAAAAATTGAATCGTAATTTCCTGTCGATATGCACATCTACGTAGTATGTCCTTATTATCTGAAAAGGTTTCATGAAATTCTATTGTGTGGTTTGAGAGGAGTTGCGATGACAAAAGGTTGCAGTAGTATATTGGGCAAATAAGTTCAATGGGACGTAACTCCTGGAAAAAAAATTGAATCGTAATTTCCTGTCGATATGCACATCTACGTAATATGTCCTTATTATCTACAAAGTTTCATGAAATTTTGTTGTGTGGTTTCAGAGGAGTTGAGATGACAAACTGTTGCAGTAGTATATTAAAGTAAATAAGTTCAAAGGGGCGTAACTCCTGGAAAAAAAATTGAATCGTAATTTCCTGTCGATATGCACATCTACATAGTATGTCCTTATTATCTACAAAGTTTCATGAAATTCTGTTGTGTGGTTTCAGAGGAGTTGCGATGACAAACTGTTGCAGAGGTATATTGAAGCAAATAAGTTCAAAGGGGCGTAACTCCTAGAAAAAAAATTGAATCGTAATTTCCTGTCGATATGCACATCTACGTAGTATGTCCTTATTATCTGAAAAGGTTTCATGAAATTCTATTGTGTGGTTTGAGAGGAGTTGCGATGACAAAAGGTTGCAGTAGTATATTGGGCAAATAAGTTCAATGGGACGTAACTCCTGGAAAAAAAAATGAATCGTAATTTCCTGTCGATATGCACATCTACGTAATATGTCCTTATTATCTACAAAGTTTCATGAAATTTTGTTGTGTGGTTTCAGAGGAGTTGAGATGACAAACTGTTGCAGTAGTATATTAAAGTAAATAAGTTCAAAGGGGCGTAACTCCTAGAAAAAAAAATAAATCATAATTTCCTGTCGATATGCACATCTACGTAGTATGTCCTTATTATCTACAAAGTTTCATGAATTTCTGTTGTGTGGTTTCAGAGGAGTTGCGATGACAAAGTGTTGCAGAGGTTTATTGAAGCAAATAAGTTCAAAGGGGCGTAACTCCTAGAAAAAAAATTGAATTGTAATTTCCTGTTTGATATGCACATCTACGTAGTATGTCCTTATTATCTGAAAAGGTTTCATGAAATTCTATTGTGTGGTTTGAGAGGAGTTGCGATGACAAAAGGTTGCAGTAGTATATTGGGCAAATAAGTTCAATGGGGCGTAACTCCTGGAAAAAAATTGAATCGTAATTTCCTGTCGATATGCACATCTACGTAGTATGTCCTTATTATCTACAAAGTTTCATGAAATTTTGTTGTGTGGTTTCAGGAGTTGAGATGACAAACTGTTGCAGTAGTATATTAAAGTAAATAAGTTCAAAGGGGCGTAACTCCTAGAAAAAAAATTAAATCATAATTTCCTGTCGATATGCACATCTACGTAGTATGTCCTTATTATCTACAAAGTTTCATGAAATTCTGTTGTGTGGTTTCAGAGGAGTTGCGATGACAAACTGTTGCAGAGGTTTATTGAAGCAAATAAGTTCAAAGGGGCGTAACTCCTAGAAAAAAAATTGAATCGTAATTTCCTGTCGATATGCACATCTACGTAGTATGTCCTTATTATCTGAAAAGGTTTCATGAAATTCTATTGTGTGGTTTGAGAGGAGTTGCGATGACAAAAGGTTGCAGTAGTATATTGGGCAAATAAGTTCAAAGGGGCGTAACTCCTGGGAAAAAAATTGAATCGTAATTTCCTGTCGATATGCACACCTACGTAGTATGTCCTTATTATCTACAAAGTTTCATGAAATTTTGTTGTGTGGTTTCAGGAGTTGAGATGACAAACTGTTGCAGTAGTACATTAAAGTAAATAAGTTCAAAGGGGCGTAACTCCTAGAAAAAAAATTAAATCGTAATTTCCTGTCGATATGCACAACTACATAGTATGTCCTTATTATCTAAAAAGGTTTCGTGAAATTCTGTTGTGTGGTTTGAGAGGAGTTGCGATGACAAGAAACAGGACTGACGGACTGACGGATGGACAGACGGACGGACGGACTGACAGACGGACGGACAGACGGACGGGTCAAAAACATTATACACTCCGCAACTCGTTGCGTGGGGTATAATAAATCTTTAAATCTAATTTGTAAGTTCAATAATCTTTATTGAACAACAATAAGAAAGATGGATACCGAATGCTATTACTTCACAGGATATAAGGTGGGTATAAGTCAATGAAACAGCAACCCAAAGAAACATATCACACATATAAGTAAGATTACAAACAATATTCAAAAGTTCACTAATGGAAGCAATTTGTGGCATTATGACAAATATACATGCAGATGGAAGGTGACCATTTGACAAAAATTGGAACAGAATTTCTTCTAAAAAGATTTATACTTTATATTCATGTAAGCCTTCTTACAATTTATTACTGTTATAGACATCTTTCAAAAGGTGTTGCATATGGAGCAAGATATGCTTACCTTTATGGAGCACATAAGATCACCCAGGCTTTGAGTGTGATTCTTGTCGCTCAGTCTTTAGTTTTCTAAGTTTAGTTGTGTATACTGTTGTTAAGCTTTTAGTCGTTTTTAGTTCTTGCCATTGCATTGTAAGTTTGTTTTCGAATTCTGATTTTGAATATCCCTTTGGCATCTTTTGCCTCTCTTTGTCAAACTAAGTTGTCAACACACAGTCATTTATTTGATAAATAAACAAACTATCTAATCATTATTTATTCTATCAAAATAAACTATATTCTTATAATTCTTAACTAATCATAACTAATTAACATATTAATAATAAATTTCGATATAAATTATGCAGGAAACGAAAATGGATTAAATATAAATGATTCGATAAAATTATTCAGCATCAGTTTCAACTAACAGAAGGCAAAATTATAAACCTAGCATTATTCTATTTCAAGAAATATTTTTGTTTTATGAAAGCAAAAAAAGTGACTTCTTTTACTATAAATACAATGATCACTTTATTGAGTACAATATCATATTCTGTACTAATTTCGACACCTAATAACCTTAAGTTAAAACTTTTTTTGGTTATCGGGAATTACCTGCAAAAATTCTATGAAGTTGCTAAGTTGATTAATATTCTATCCCTTGTTTATTCTTTTAATTAATCTATAATATCAAATAAATTCACTTCTTTTACTTTCTTTTCATTGTCTAAAGTTTTCTAATTAAAATTTAAAAAGCAATGAATTTTACATTCTGTAATAGCTATGATCTTGCCTCATTTGTAATAACAAAAAATATATAACAAAGCCTTATAAAGACAATAAAAATATTAACAAAGATATGTTTGTCTTCCTTAAATAAAATAAAAATGGAATGTTAAATTTTACATTGAACAATGCATTTTTTTTTTCTTATTCAGTAAATGCAAATAAGTAATAAAACAAAGGACCTTACAAAACAAATTCAGTCACTAACACAACAGCATTCCTCAAACTTATCTTCAATCATAAATTATTCTACATTATCACATCTAATCAGAAAACTTAACAATTAAAACAATGTAGACATTCAAAAGTCACTTCACGGAAAGACTAAATTCATTCATATACAGCTTGTCATACAGATGTTTCTGTTGTAATGCAAGTGTGTCAATAACTAAAGATCTATGCCAAAGGCCTTTTTATTATTTTAGAATAATTGTAAGACAGCCATATATTTCATTTAAAAACATTTCAGTTTATATATGTTTTTGTACTAAACTTCAGGTTGCAACTTTCCACAGCTAAGTTGACAATTTATCTGCATATGTACCTGATTTTCAAAGAACATGTCAGGCACACTTAAATGGATATCATATATGCATGTACTAGGGCAATTCTACTGCTACTGCCGGTTGACTCAGTTCTATAGCTTACCATCAATCATTGTTAATATATGTTATTCTAATAAGTACTAACTCAATAGTATATTAATTTTGAAAACTTTACATTAGGTGTAGACCATCTGTTTTTGTGAATAAATAAACTAATTGCAAGATGATAATAGTGATCATAAAATACTTCAATTGAAGTAAACAATTTCCCTTTGGTATCTGCTGCCTCTCTTTTATTGATAGCAGCAATGGTATAAATAAACTATGTCTTGCCAATATTAAGTTTTCCTAGATTAAACCCAAAAGTCAAATATGGTACAGGTTCATTAAAAAAGGATTCTTTTGCATTTTTTTCATAGTACTTAACTTTGTGAATACATAAACTGTTTGCAAGATCATCAGATACTTCATTTGAAGTAAACAATGCACCTAAACTCAGTATGTAAAAATGATAACAGTATAGGAATGTATACTGAAAAACTCCCTCCAATAAAGGTATAGATATCTCTAATGCTGTACAAAACAAGTTACCCAATTTCATTTCTTATTTCAATGTAAAGATCAAACATTGAATTCATTTACAATAATTTACCTCAACTAGTTCTCCTTTGTCTTATTCAAAGATCTCCAGATAAAGTTTAACCTGACATTGAATTGAAAAGAATAACATCTGATTCAATTGAATTATTATGTTTCTTCTTTTTTCAAATTGTTTTTGTTCTATGTATTTATCTAACAATGTGATATGACCACCAATGACTGGGCTTTATGTATTTACATAGAAAATTAATACATTTTTTATTAACTTTACACATTCATTCAAAGCAAAAGGAAGTATAAAAAAACATATTGTGACAAAAATTGATAAACATTGTGACAAAATTGATAAACATTCAAAAATTTTCTGTCATCAAAAATTGTTTGCAAATATTTTAAACCTTCAAATCTGACATCTGCTGAAGTCTAATAATTTTAGTGATTTGTGCACATCTTTAAAGATAGATATTAGCTAATAACAAGACTCAATAAACATCAAGTCATCAATCATTTTAAATTTAGTATTCAGATGTTTAAAGTGACACTGCATCATTGGAGTAATCAGTTGGCCAGTTTGGCATTTTAATGTAACAATCCTTTGCTAGTTCTTGAAGACACTTTGGATGGGTCTCAAACTATCTGAATGATTGGTTTATGAATAGATTATTTACCCATGCCATCAAGTTCAATTCTATGAATCATTTGAGTTAAAGGGTCTGTATATCAACATTATAAAAACATCACTCCCAATATCTAAATTTGTTAGTGGTGTTCATACTGCAGATAGACCACAAGATAGTTCTAATGACCAGCAAAACAAATTATATTGAAGTGCATTAAAAATATCAAACCAAATCTGATTGGTTATAATAGGATCACAGATGATATTTCAGGATATAAATACTTATAAATATTAGAAATAATCATAAAGTTTTCCACTAAACCCTGTGTCTTGCCTAGGATTGCTGCTGTCAGTGTAAAATAAGACTAAGTCCATTGATAATAAAAATATGAACAAGTCAAATAAAAATTACTATTTTCTTCAGATGCCAAAATCTGAAAATGAAGAAGCTTTTGTCCAAGTTTTGTAACATTCAAAATCAAATTTATTTTTTATTGATGTTTTAAATAGTTTAACCTCAGACTGTATGTAAATGTTTATTGTAAACACTAAGTCCATCTATCAGTAAATTACTGGAAAATTAAAAGAATTTTTTTTTTCATTTTTGTTCTCTTAATCATAAATATACTGCTGTAAAAGTTTCATAAAACTCTATGAAGGATTGACAAAGTGATTGATGTCTAAAAGAACAATAACTCCAGACTGAATCAAAATGTTAACTGCAAAACATTTAAGTTTATTTATCAATAAATTACAGAAAGATGGAAAAAAAATATTTTAAAAATTTTGCTCTGAATACTGTCTTCTGATCACAAAGAAGTTAGGTTGCATTAAATTCAACGAAGGTCTGACAAAGCGTTTAATGTCTAAAATACTTTAAACTTCAGATTGAACCTAAATGTTGATGATGCAGACTGGAAGTAGATCGCCATGTCTCACTTCTACAACTTTTATCTCAGGCTTGACAAAAATCCAATAAAATGATTGTTCTCAACAATTACAAATATCTGTATATACAATAAATAATACAAAAAATAGGCAACAAAAAACAAAAGAAAAAGCTTAAAAATGAACAATGTACTTTTAATTAGTACAGAACACAATTTCCTTCTGAGTATATCAGTTTTACATAACATCTTTCAGTAGCATAGCTAGTAAAACAAGCATTCTGAGAGTATTGCATGGCAATACATAGTCCCCTACCGGGTAAAAATTCATTATACTGGAACAAAATGCTAACTTGTTATATAACTTGTCATGGTGTAAACAAAAAGAAAATATCAAGTCAATATCTTCAAATGACTAAAACAGTGTGGAAAACTGAATATATGAGTGAATTTTTTCAAGTCCAAGGACCATAACTCTGCACAAAATTATCAGACCGAAACAAAAATTTGAACTTGATCTGTAACTTGTCATGATAAAACTATAGACCAATTGTCAATCAATATCTTCAAGCATGATGAAAAATAGTGTGGAAAACCTATAACACTCTAACATTAGATATGATTTATAGTTCTCTAAAATTAGATGTGATGTAATACAATGTATATCTATTTTCAAATAACAATCAAATATAATTAATAGTTCCAAATATTTTTTCTTTCATTTGTCACAAACTAATATAGATTTGTAACTTATCTATAAAATGTCAACAACTTTTATCTACACAATATAATGTAATGAAATATATACCTTAATAAAAATAGATTATTATCTAATTAAAGGATTTAACTTAATAAAAAAAAACATATATATATATACATGTAGCATTCAGAAAATTAGTTTATACAAAATAACATATAAACCTGCCACAAAATTCCTCAAACAATTTACCAAAGAATGTCTTTTAAAAATGAGTTATCTCCCTTTGTACAGATATATGGTTTAACATAGTACTCTCACATTAGTTATGGAGTTTTTTGATGGACCATAACTCTAGACTAAATCATCAGACCTGAACAAAATTCGAACTTGACCTATAACTTGTCATGATAAAACTATATACCAAATATTAAATCAATATCTTCAAGAACGAAATGTGTGGAAAACTGAGTTGCCGGACTGATGGATTGACAGATGGACAGACGGACAGAGTGCAAACCTAAAGTCCCCTTCAACTTCGTCGGTAGGGGACTAAAAAAACCTTTCACTTTCTTTTCATCCTAATCATAGTTTGAGTGTATAATTTTGAGATTACCACACTAGATAGCTTGAGGAATTTGTTTCCATTATAAGGCTAGACAGAGCATTCTGTTTTTTTTAATATTAAGCTCCTCATGTTTCTTTTTGTATTATGCTTATTAGATTTCTTTCTATACAAAGCTCCTCATGTTTCTTTTTGTATTATGCTTATTAGATTTCTTTCTATACTAAGCTCCTCATGTTTCTTTAAGTATTATGCTTATTAGATTTCTTTCTATACTAAGCTCCTCATGTTTCTTTTTGTATTATGCTTATTAGATTTCTTTCTATACTAAGCTCCTCATGTTTCTTTTTGTATTATGCTTATTAGATTTCTTTCTATACTAAGCTCCTCATGTTTCTTTTAGTATTATGCTAATTAGATTTCTTTCTATACTAAGTTCCTCAGCTTTCTTTTAAAGGGGCAGTCAAGCTGACAGCAAACCCAGTTTTCATAACATTTATTAGTGTCATTGTTAAAGCAATAAAAGGGCCACAACTCCTAACATAAGAGGAAATTGTCAAGATTAAACTTGACCTCCACTTTGTCATCAGAAACAACAAAACATTTTGAAATTAATTGGTCCATGGTTCTAAATTAATGCACAGTATACCATTCTTCATAATGACAAAGTGAAAATTATCAATATCAAACTTGACCTCCTTTGTCATGAGAAATGCCATACAAAAATTTGAAAAGAATTGGTTTAACTGTTTGTACAGTAAGGATTTGGAGTGCCTGCCCACCAGCAAGTCCGCAATCCTATGATACCACCCAAAATTTATAAAAACATTTTTTCCATAAAAAAAAAAAACAGTTCAAAACATCATGTTTTATATATACTATACATAGAGTAACTGATGCAAGAGTTTCAAATTTTTCAGCCTTTGCAGATTGGTACTAATTTCAAATTAACATACTTCAGCAAGACCCTGTATCAAATATTGCTTAAAGGGGATACATTAGAACTATACTAATACCTGTATTTAAAATGAGAAAGGATTTCTATATTATTGGTCAACTTCTTTAATTACTGAGAATGTAATACTTAAACATAGAGATGTAAAGTGCTTAAGGATCGGTTATTTTCACATCATTAAAACAATGTTGCAATATTTCTCACCGGACACGACACTATCTGAAACACACATAATTTAACATCATTAATAATGTTTTAACAAACCAAATCAAAAATAAATACACTCTTTATAATAAAAACAATATGAAAATATATTAAAATCGTTTACACATTTTGACTAAAATAACATTTCACTACCATATAGGTACAATTTACTTACCCTAAAAACATTTTGTTAAACATAACAATATAAGATATTTTCTACCAATTAAAAAAACCTAAGGTTAAACTAAGAAATTTTCCACCTGGAAATCATTATACTTTTTAAACAATTTTCCTAGATCCGCTTTTATACCAATCTTTAAATTAAATCAAATCATTTATACATGTAAAAATGTATAATTAAACTTTAAAGTAAAATGCTAAAACATTCACTCTACTTGTAGAAATAAGATTTTCTACTAGCCAAATCAAAGATTTAAGTAGAATTTTTATTCCTGTTATTAATATTGCTTATTTAACTAATATATACATCACTACTGTTTTTTTAATTAATGGAAAAAAAAAAAAAAAATAAAAGCTTAAATTGTTTACTTAATGTCTAACTAGTAATACCTAAAAATGAATACTGAATAATGACTATATAGACCAACAAACTCATTCTACTACTAAATCATAGAATATAGGACTTTAAACAGAATGCAAAATTGCTATTCAGAAAAAGTTTTTTTTTAAATAACAATATAATTGCTGGTATAATAAAAAGATTTTGATTTAAAAGAGAACTATAAATGCTGAAATTGATTTCAAGTAACAAGCATTCATACAAACTAAAAAAACTCATTCAAATTATCTGATTCATCTGTAAACAAGAGGCTGTCAAGATGACAGTAAACCAGGATTTTATTACATTTATTAGAGTCATTATTAAGCAATTAAGGGTCATAACTACTGAACTGCAAAAGTGAAAATCATCAATATCCTACTTGATATTTGTAATCAGTACCCAACATATTAAAATTTGAAGAGCATTAGTTGAATGGTTCATAAATTATTGCTCAGAAACAACAAGAGCAGCCCGCCCACCAGCTGTACAATCCTAATTCAATACGAAGATTTTTGTTGGAAAACTCTGTTAAAAAAGGAATGTTTCATTAGAAGATACATTACTTAATGTTCTTTTTTGTAGTTTGACAACTTGTAACACGTTAACATGTAAAGATAACAAGTTTAAATTGTTAAGGTAAAGTCATTTAAACAAAATCATTCTTCTAAAAGAATATGACAAATAAAGAACAGTTACACAGAAATATAATTACTTTCTGTAAGATGTTCTATGTTGCAGCCATTATGATTTGCTTAATGTTTTTTTTAATTTTCAAACCATCTTAGAGTTCAAAAATTTAAAATTCAAGTCAATATATTTCTATGAGCGAAAATAATTATAAAAACTAACAAACTATGAAAGACATTGCACATGTATGGCTTCAATTGCTGCTAAAATCATGAATATCATGATTAGTTTTCATCAGCCTACGGCAGTTATATATAAAACAAAGGCAGCAATTAGTACATTAATAAATATATAAAAATAGGACTTTATCTCTTTCAATACTTCTTATCAATATATATCAACAAAAGAAACATTACTGTGATGTTGATCTACTGATCTTTTTCATTGGAATGTCGTCCATTGCACCTTGTCTGGTTAAAACGTGGCTGCTGTTTTTTCTTCCAGATGGCATACCTGGTTTCGGTTCATCTGAATCATCAGTTACAGAAGCCACATTTTCTGGCTCATTACTCTTATTTGGTACACAAAATGTGTCTCCAAATTCTTCAGGTGATATGACAGTTATACCCGACTCCACCTTTGGACGACTGGTTCCTTCAGCATATACTGGAAGACTGGTACCTTTCTGCAATAATGGTCTGTTTTCTATCTCATCCTCTTCAAAAACTGTATCCATTATATTGGACATTACAGAAGTAACGTTGTGTCTATCATCTGTAGGTGATATGTCTACAGTAGCTGACCTGGTCTTTGGCTTACCTAACCTTGTTTGATTTCCTCTCATAAAACAAATGTCTGAGTCTTCCTCTGACCAAGATAATGCCCTCTCTGGCATGGTTCTGATGGATTTCATTCTCTGCAGTCTCATGTTACTACATCTTTTGTTTTGCAAATGCTGCATCATAGAGAACTTTGTATGTTTTGCCATGTTTCTGTCAAACATGCCTTGGGGTATCTGGAAATATACCAGGACAAATCATTAGGACAGCAGTAAAACAAAAACTAAACATTGAGAATGCATGAATTTATTGATGCAAATATTGGACAAAAAACAATAATGTGAGATTTATGCAATTATTGGTCATGTATATTACTAGCACAAATTACACGATATTTATCATTCCACTGTACAACCGATCACACTTCTCAGATCAATTAAAACATACTATTAATTCCTCAATTATTGAGTAAATTGTTAGAAGATGTAGCGATGAACAGCATTATTCTTTGTTTGGATATTATTTGAAGTAAAAAAACAAAACAAAACAAACACTATGATAATTGATCTTAATAAACCCATCAACCTACTGTAAATCCAAAAATTATTTAGTGCATTTATTACTGAGATTTTTCAAGAATAGACAAAAATGTGATATTAGTTATTGTGATTTCAGGAAAATGTGTATACAGATATAAAATGTATCAGATATTAGAATGCGAGTCCTTATTATTGGGATACTCACCCAGTTGTATTATTCACATTAATAAAAACCTCACAATAATTTCTGAATTAACAGTAATTGTTATTTATTTAGCAAACTCATTTTGATACATTATTTAATTTCAATTCATTTTTTCAAATTGAAATGTTTAACAAATTTTTTTTCATGTTTACTTTTAATGACTTCAAAATGTTCTCTAACTAACAAAATTTCCAATGAAACCAACAATGACTTGTGAAAGCTTAAATACATTGAACAAAAAAGAATTTTGCAAAAAATGACACAATATATACACTTATCCATGTTTATGACACAATTGATTTCAATACAACTATGGTAGATTTCACTGTAAATTTACTTTTATTGTTTTCATTAAGGGTGAAGGAGGTGTAGTTCTCTTTCCCCCTTTTTGCTAATATATTTGGGTATTTCTCTTGATTTGTTTACCTAAATAGATATTTGGATTACAAGAAGAAAAAAAGCATTGATCATTAAATGTTGCTGTCAAACTATGTTTAAATCTAATATAAACTACAGATTGAATGTATACCGCTGGTAAAGTGAAACCATAAAATGTCAATAGGTTGACTGCAAGTGGTGTTTGCATTGTGACAGTAATTGAAACAAGAATAAAATATTGTCTACGCTAGATCTGAATTTTGAACTATATCAAAAATTCATCTTTAATAACAACACAAAAATCAAAATAAAAGTATATTTGAAATATTCATAATTTCAAATGAATAAGCTCAAATATCATTCCATTGCAAAAAGTTTATAGTTAATATCATCTCCTTTCCAAGAAGGTATATGATGTACAAGGCCAATAAAAGAGACCTGCTGTAAGTTGAGAAGATTAACTTTATAGAGAAGAATACCTGCAGCTCGTCACATTTATGATTTAATAGTCAGTATATAAGCAAGAGCTTTTTTGTAAATGCAAGCTAAAAATCAGAAATAAAAGTGTCTGATGTGTATGTAAGATCTGATACCAAGCTTAAGCCTTATAAGAAATTTTTTCAGATCTTTGAATTTTTCTCGAATAGACAGAAGAAAGGCCTTTTTCGTGACGTCTAACTACTTTTATTGTGACGTCATGGTTTAAAAAAGGCTTGGTTTTCAATTTTGCCACACCAACTTTAAAACAGGTATAAATTGAAATCTTAAAACGTAATTCAAATTGCAGTAAAAAGTTAGGCCAAAATAGGGCCATATCACAACCTGCCCTTTTTGGCAATTCAGTCAAAATTAACTTTTTTCTCAGTTAAAATTCAAGATTGGTTTAAAAAATGCAACAAAAATTTTAAGTTTAATTTGTATTCTTCAAAACTAGAAAAAGAAAATGCTTATAACTAATGGTTACATATTAAAAATGTTTCTGCTCTTAAAAACGATAAATTTTCATGAAAAATTTACTAAATTAAGTCTATAGGATTTTTTAAACACTTCAACAAAAATTTATTACACTTTTGCTGTGTAATAAAAATTTTGATCTGGAGGATTTTTTGGGGGAAAATTTTTCTTGTGATACAAAAAAGTAGTAGGTCATGAGTACCTAAATGTAGGGAAATGTTATTGTACTATCTATGACGAATGTAGATTTTGTAAACATGAGACATCATAAAGGCATCATGAGAGATTTTCTAATTTTTGGTGGTTATGTATGAGTGCTGTTGCTTAATAAGAATCTTTAAGAGGATCATAGTACTTAATATCATTGATATACCACTACTGGTTTAAAGCATTTATAATGCATATCTTACAATCCTGGTGGATGTATATATTATCTATGAACATAGTGACACACATATAAATGAACAAGTAGAAATATATATGAACAGCCAAATTTTATAAGGAATGAAAAAAAAAACAACAAAGAATAAATATTGTCACTAAAATTTTGACAAACAAAAACAGTTCATGCAACAACTATACACCCACTGAGTCAAGAATAATGTGAAATAAAACTCGAGGTATTCTTTAGGGTCTTTAGATATTCAAAGATGAATCTGCTCACATCAGTTATTATGAAAGCCTAAATGTAGCAGGACTTACAAATGCTTAAGCATTGATTAGCATTTCCTTTATCAGTTATTAATTTGGCTTATTTTTGGTCAAAAGCAGCTCATCAAGCCATTTAAAGGCTTAAATGTAATATTCAATTATATTTACAAACTGTGATTGTAAAAACGTTTTTTCCTTATTCTGAAAGACAAGAGTGCACACACTGAAATGTCTCGCCTGCTTTACTGGACCATTGATTTTATGTTGATAGTCCTAAATATAAAGCTTCACTACGACAATCACATAAACTTAACATGATCCAAGAAAATGAGGTCAAGGTTAGATAAACCAAACTGGAAATACATGTACACCTTACAATCATTCCATACACCAATTATAGTTGACCAATTGCTTATAGTTTAAGAAAAACAGACCAAAACACAAAAAACTTAACAGCAATGAACTGTGAAAATGAGGTCAAGAGCAAATAAAACCTGCCAGACATGTACATCGTAAAATATTTCCACACACCAAATATAGACGACCTTTTGTATATAGTATAAGAAAAACAGACCAGAACACAAAAACTTAGCTTTAACCACTGAACCATGAAAATGAGGTCAACGTCAGATGACACCTGCCAGTTGGACATGTACACCTTACAATCATTCCATACACCAAATATAGTAGACCTATTGCTTATAGTATCTGATATATGGACTTGACCACCAAAACTTAACCTTGTTCACTGATCCATGAAATGAGTTCGAGGTCAGATGAAAACTGTCTGATAAGCATGAGGACCTTGCAAGGTATGCACATACTAAATATAGTTATCCTATTACTCAAAATAGAGAGAAATTAACATTACAAAAAATCTTAACTTTTTTTTCAAGTAGTCACTGAACCATGAAAATGAGGTCAAGGACAATATTAATAGACATATGACAGACAGAAACTTCATAACATAAGGCATCTATATACAAAGTATGAAGCATCCAGGTCTTCCACCTTCTAAAATATAAAGCTTTTAAGTAGTTAATTAACGTCGCTGCTGCTGGATCACTATCCCTATGTCGAGCTTTCTGCGACAGAGGTCGCAGGCTCGACAAAAAACTATAACTAAATGTGTATAATTCAAATTAACTGGTTTTTTTTTGCATTATGAATGGCACAGTGGTCTATTTGTTTCAAAATAACATAAAATCCTTTTTTCTAAGAATGTAGCAAAGTTTAAGAAGAAAATATAATATTTTGTTGAAAAAAATAATTATGAAAGTATATTGTGGCACAAAATGAATAAATAACCACTAGACTAACAATAAAGAGAGCTATATTCTTCATGAGATGTATATTAAAATATTCATCATTCATCTGCAACAAGTAAGATTTTTTTAATAGAATTAAACACATACAATCATGCAAATATAGCAATAGGGGGAGTAACATCTTACCGCTGAACAAAATCTCTGGCCTACTTCAATTTTGGGCTTTAAATTAAGAAGTTTATAAATCAGACAAGTCATTATAATTGTACTTTTCATTCAGTTATATAAAGTCATTCCCTAAATGGAGCCCCACAAATTTTCATGATATAATTGTTGTTTTTTGACTTTCTCAGCAATCGTTCCCATTATGGTAGACACTGTTGTTTGTCATGAAAATATGTACCTGCTGAAAACCAGTTTTTTTAAAGTTCAAGAATTTCATAATATAAAATGCAATAGAAGTTTATTTAACTGTACAATTTAAAATTCGTTTTGGGCCTCAGTAGCCGAGTGGTCTAAGTAGTCCAACTACAGTATCACTAGCCTGTCAACACTGAGGTTGTGACTTGTGAGTTCAAATCATGCATGTGTCAGGTGTGCTCGTCTCTAATCTTAATTGACTAGGATAGTCAGTTTTCCTACCCAAGGTTGATTGTTCTCTCCTGGCACTCTGACTTCCTTCAATAGTGCTGAAAGTGGCGTTAAACACCAATCAATCAATAAAATTCTTTCGTCTTATTTCAGTGAAAAGTGGTCTTCATTGTTCATGTAGATATATTCATTAAGAGAAATTCATTCAAAATTTAAAATATTTACCATTCTACTATGAGTTGCATGTGATTCTAGTAGCTTTCTTAAATCTGATGGCGTTGGTGAATCAATGGATTTTATTCTAAGTACTACACCTAAAAGTATATAGTATAAACAATTTAAGTACTACACTTAAAATTATGTATTATAACCATGTAAGTACTACACCTAAAAGTATATAGTATAACCAATTATGTTCTTCACCTAAAAGTATATTCATATATGTGGCCTACTAAAATAACACTCAGTGAATTATTGATATATGTGGCCAATTGAAATAGCTGTCTGTAAATAATTGAAATATGTGGGCAGCATAATTGCTGTCAGTGAATTATTGATATATGTGGCCTGCTAAAATATCTGTCAGTGAATTATTGATATATGTGGCCTATTGAAGTAGCTGTCAGAGAATTATTGACATCTAGGGCCTAGTAAAAAAACTGTCAGCGAATTATGGAAATATGTAGCCTATTGAAATAGCTATAAGTGAATTATTGAAATATGTGACCAACATAAATAGCTGTCAGTCAAATATTGATATATGTGGCCAGCATAAATAGCTGTCAGTGAATTATGATATATGTGGCCTACTAAAATATCTGTCAGTGGATTATTGATATATGTAGCCTATTGAAATAGCTGTCAGTGAATTATTGAAAAATGTGGCCAGCATAAATAGCTGTCAGTGAATTATTGATATATGTGGCCTGATAAAATATCTGTCAGTGAATTATTGATATATGTGGCATATAGAAATAGCTGTCAGAGAATTTTTGACATCTAGGGCCTACTAAAATAACTGTCAGTGAATTATTGATATATGTGGCCTATTGAAATAACTGTCAGTGAATTAATGAAATATGTGGCCAACATAAATAGCTGTCAGTGAATTATTGATATCTGTGGCCTACTGGAATAACTGTTGGTGAATTATTGATATCTGTGGCCTACTGAAATAACTATCAGTGAATTATTGATATATGTGACCAACATAAATAGCTGTCAGTCAAATATTGATATATGTGGCCAGCATAAATAGCTGTCAGTGAATTATGATATATGTGGCCTACTAAAATATCTGTCAGTGGATTATTGATATATGTAGCCTACTGGAATAACTGTTGGTGAATTATTGATATCTGTGGCCTATTGAAATAGCTATAAGTGAATTATTGAAATATGTGACCAACATAAATAGCTGTCAGTCAAATATTGATATATGTGGCCAGCATAAATAGCTGTCAGTGAATTATGATATATGTGGCCTACTAAAATATCTGTCAGTGGATTATTGATATATGTAGCCTATTGAAATAGCTGTCAGTGAATTATTGAAAAATGTGGCCAGCATAAATAGCTGTCAGTGAATTATTGATATATGTGGCATATAGAAATAGCTGTCAGAGAATTTTTGACATCTAGGGCCTACTAAAATAACTACTAAATATTGATATATGTGGCCTATTGAAATAACTGTCAGTGAATTAATGAAATACGTGGCCAACATAAATAGCTGTCAGTGAATTATTGATATCTGTGGCCTACTGGAATAACTGTTGGTGAATTATTGATATCTGTGGCCTACTGAAATAACTATCAGTGAATTATTGATATATGTGGCCTATTGCATACCTGTCAACCTATGAAAATGAAAATGCAGGTTATGACCTGCATTGAAGAAGAAAATCTCAGGTCATAATGCGTACAAACTTTTTTCAGCTGAATTTAAGTATTTAGGGGACATTTCTTTATATTTTAAATCGAATAGTTTCCATCTTTTTTTTTAATCTTTATTTACTTTATCATCTCAAGCCAAGCCATATCAGTTTCTTTGTTTCATGGATTGTTGATATTGGAATGTAATAAAATAATTAACCATTTAAAGAAAGTAAAGATAAGAAAAATAATTTTAAAAATTATATTTTAATTGTTCTAAGGTAGAAAAATAAAAGAAAATTATATTCTGATATGTATTTCCATTCAATTTGTTTTAGATTTAATCTTTTTACAAAAAAAACCCATAAAATTAAGGAGTATATTGTGAAAGGTGACAAAAAGGGGGAAGTAACTCAAATTTATTGTCAAACAACTTTGAAATAGACAAATTATTTATGACCTTAAGCTAAGGTAATTGGTGTTAATAAACAGTGCGTTTGACACAAAAGCTGTCAAGTGAAGCCATGCACTTAATTTGACAGTTAACACAGCTATTTGAAATTCCTGTCCAGGAAGAATTACGAATTTGCCAGTATTTCAAAGGAAAATCACTTCTGAAATCAGTCTAAAGACTCAAGAATCCGGGTGAAAACGGGTCATTTTCTGAATTCACAGGTTATTTCATGACCCGGCGGGTATTTAAAAAATCCTGGGTATGGGGTGAAATTCTTGGGTGTGACTCGCAGGATACGGGTCAGTTGACAGGTATGCCTATTGAAATAGCTGTCAGTGAATTATTGATATATGTGGCCTTCTAAAATAACTGACTGAATTTTTGAATTGTTGATATCAGGCCTACCGGTACTTAAATAGCTATCAGTGAATTATTGATATCTTTGGCATTCTGCAATAACTGTCAGTTTTTAATTTCATTGACATATATCATCTACCTGTATCCTCCTCTTCCTCTTCAGGCTCCTCAGCATCTGTTCCACTGGCTAACTTCAGTAGCATGGCAGAACTATCTATCTTACGCCTGATTTGAAAAGTTATAAATGCATTAACATTTAACCTTTGGATTTATCAGTATGAAATTTTTAGTATATAAATCTTTATTGATGATTCCATGGTCCTTATCTAATGAATCAGATGAAGTAACTTTATCAACAAAACTGGTATTAAATTTTATCATCCTGACTTTTACAAAATCAAAAACAATGTCAACTTATCCAAATAAGTCCGTTTTTTACTTAAAAAAAATCCTAGTACTTAATGTGATTAAGAAACTGACATGATCACTCAAAACTTAACATTGATAAATCACAACCATTTAAATGAGGTCATGGTCAGACTAACACTGCCATTTGAGCCTTTAACATGATTATATATACTATAGTTGACCTATTACTAATTATTGAATGAATCTTAATTTAGATGTACTTCGTCTCAAATTTAGCCTAAAGATGTTAGATCTGCAAAATTGCATTAGCAAATTTTTTTCTTCCCTCAGCATGATTTGAAACCCTGCTTCTGTGACATCGTAGCAACATGGCCTGCAATGTGTCCAGCACCCTAGACCACTCAACCAAATAGGCTATATGAAAATAAAGCTTTTCTTAGTCGAGTAACGCCTTTCCTCATTTATCTAGGGTTGTTGCAACACAGTACATGATGTATAGAGGCAAGTAGATGGTGTATCTTGCAGATCAGCTGCATTTTGGCTGTCGCAAAGGATAATAATTTTACTAACCATGCCACCATATATGTATATCATAAAGTTGTCATATATTCAGATGTATATATATATTATAACAAAATAAAATTATGTTTTGATATGACGGCATGATTACATTATTATCCTTTACGACGGACAAAACATAGCTGATCTGAAAGATATACTATCCTACTTGCCATTATACATCATGTACTGTGTTACAGCCCTAGATAAAGCCGACGAGGAAAGGCATTACTTGACTAACAAAAGCTATATCTTTATATAGTATAGTTGGTCGAGTGGCCTAGGGAGCTGGACATAGTGCAGGCGATGTTGCCACAATGTCACAGAAGCAAGGGTTCAAATCCCGCTGAGGGAAGAACAAAAATTTGTGAATGAAAAATATGACAGAATACACATAACAATCAAATTATGCAGATATAACTTATTATAACACATACAAAATATTAACTGATAATCTGTGATCTTAATTTCCATGCCACCTTTAAATAGTTACATAGCTTCTATCCAGCTTTTAAACTTTTTAAAACTGACAAGATCACTTCATCATTATCATAAAAACTTAATGTTGAACTGTGAATTGTGGTAAATAATAAATTACCATCAGCAGGAGGTTAAAGGGTATCATATATGTATCATTTAAAAGTTTGAGGGCAATGGTTCCTTACAGGTTTCTTCAGAATTCTTTTATGGAATTATTTTCTTTTAAATAACATCTTTTTTTTTATTTCTATAAACAATGCCATGTTGGTTTAAAATCAGGGCACAACAATTTTAAGTATATACCCTAAAAAGGAGGGTAGTAAAATTATATGGAAAAAGCAAACGTGTTAAAGTTAAAACTTTGAAATAGATGGAAAGATTTTCAGTTGTTTTCTAAAAATACAACTTACATATGATCTGATTTATCTGGTATATTTTTGGCTCCACATAAATGAAGATTTCTGTAATGCTCTCTGAAATAATAAATAAACATGTAAGTTTAAACCCTTACTTAATAACACTGTGAAATCTTTATTGTGTGTCCAACATCCTCTGCTGAAATTAAAGAAATATCATTTCATATTTAAATAAAAACAAGAGTGCACACGCTGAAATGTCTCGCCTTCTTTATTAATCATTGATATTATGTGGATAGTCCTAAATATAAAGCTTTATTACAACTGTCACATAAACTTAACATTAACCAAAAAACTAAACATTGACCAATGAACCATGAAAATGAGGTCAAGGTCAGATGAACCATGCCAGGCAGACATGTACAGCTAACAATTCTTCCATACAACAAATATAGTTGACCTATTGCTTATAGTTTAAGAAAAACAGACCACAACACAAAAACTTAACACTGAGCAATGAACCGTGAAAATGAGGTCAAGGTCATATAAAACCTGTGCGACCGACATATAGATCATAAAATATTTCCATATACCAAATATAGTTGACCTATTGCATATAGTATTAGAAAAAAAGACCAAAACTCAAAAACTTAACTTTGACCACTGAACCATGAAAATGAGGTCAAGGTCAGATGAAACCTGCCAGCTAGACATGTACACCTTACTATCATTCCATACACCAAATATAGTAGACCTATTGCATACAGTATAAGAAAAACAGACCAAAACACAAAAACTTAACTATAACCACTGAACCATGAAAATGGAGTCAAGGTCAGATGACACCTGCCAGTTGGACATGTACACCTTATAGTCCTTCCATACACCGAATATACAAGACCTATTGCTTATAGTATCTGAGATATGGACTTGACCACCAAAACTTAACCTTGTTCACTGATCCATGAAATGAGGTCGAGGTCAAGTGAAAACTGTCTGACGGGGATGAGGACCTTGTAAGGTACGCACATACCAAATATAGTTATCCTATTACTTATAATAAGAGAGAATTAAACGTAACAAAAAATCTGAACTTTTTTTTCAAGTAGTCACTGAACCATAAAAATGAGGTCAAGGACATTGGACATGTGACTGACGGAAACTTCGTAACATGAGGCATCTATATACAAAGTATGAAGCATCCAGGTCTTCTAGCTTCTAAAATATAAAGCTTTTAAAAAGTTAGCTAACGCCGCCGCCGCCGCATCACTATCCCTATGTCGAGCTTTCTGCGACAAAAGTCGCAGGCTCGACAAAAATCAATTTAGAGCTTGCTTTTCAGAAATCGAGCAGTCTTTCATAAAATATCATAGTTTTTATTATAATTGTAATGTATTCTGTAAAAACAAATAGAAATTTTAATGAATTAATGAACCTTAGTGAGCACGCTCACATACCCCACGCCCCAACATTGTCACTGGGTAAACAAAATCTCACCAGATTCCTAAGTTCGAAGACTCATAACTCCAACAAATTCAACTGATAAAAATTTCTTGTGGCAATGCACATTTACATATTATGTCCGTATAAACTACAAAGTGACATGAAATTCTGTTGTGTAGTTTCAGAGGAGTTGCGATGACAAACTGTTGCAGTAGTATATTGAGACCAATAAGTGCAAAGGGGCATAACTCCTAGAAAAAAAATTGAATCATAAAATTCATGTCGATATGCATGTCTACATAGTATGTCCTTATTATCTACAAAGTTTCATGAAATTCTGTTGTGTGGTTTCAGAGGAGTTGCGATGACAAGAACAGGACTGACGGACTGTAGTATATTGAGACCAATAAGTTTAAAGGGGCATAAGTCCTAGAAAAAAAATTGAATCATAATTTCCTGTCGATATGCATATCTGCATAGTATGTCCTTATTATCTACAAAGTTTCATGAATTTCTGTTGTGTGGTTTCAGAGGAGGTGCGATGACAAGAACAGGACTGACTGACTGACAGACAGACAGACGGACGGACAGAGAGAAGGACGGACGGACAGACGGACGGACGGGTCAAAAACATTATACCCCACGCAATAAATTGTGTGGGGTATAATTATGTAGTATGATGAATATGATGATGATGGATTGTTGTTGTACAATCAGAGGCAAATATCACAAATGTTATATGAATATGAATACGAACCTTGCTCTGTACTACACCTGTACTTTTAACATGTTAGTTCACAAGGTAACAGTTAGCAGAAAGATATGTCACAAAACCAGGACATATTATTCTGACTCTGAGTCAACCAGTACTCTTAGTGACATGTGACAGTATTACATAAACTTAACATTGACCTATGAACCATGAGCATATGAGGTCAAGGTCAGATGAACCCTGTCAAATGGACAAGTTCACCTTAAAATCAATTTATACACAATATATAGATGATCTATTAAACAAGGTAACAGACCTAATCAGAAAAAATTATAGTACCTAAGAATCTGACCTTATCATGAAAACTTAATATTGACCACTAAACCATAAAATGATTACAAGGTCAGGTGAACCCTGTGTGACAGACATGCATACCTTGGAATGATACCAAATACAAAATATAGTTGTCCTTTTACGTATAACTGAACAAGATGCTGTCAAAATGACAGCAAATCTGTTTCTTAAATTTATTTGAGTCATTGGCTATAACTCCTGAACGGCAAAAGTGAAAATTGCAAAAACCAACCTTGATCTCCATTTTGTCATAAGAAACAACTTCTTAAAATTGTGTAAGGATTGAACCATACCTTTTCAATTTATTGCATGGAATCAAAATAAAGTTCCATTTTCTAATCAATGAAGAACCTAACTCCAGTTTAGATGAGGAAATCATCATTACTGAACTTGACCTCCATTTTGTCATCAAAAACAATGTTTCAAAATTTTAAAAGGATTGGTTGAACTGTTCTCAAGTTACTGCATGGAAACAAGACAATAAGCCATTTCCCAATCAATCAAGAACCATAACTCCAGAATGACAAAAATGATAATTGTCAATATTGAACTTGACTACATTTTGTCATCGGTAACAACATATGAAAATTTAAAAGCACTTTTTGAACAGTACTCAAATTATTGCATGGCAACAGATGGAGCTGCCAACCTACACATTCTTCAGTCAAACGTCCCAAAATTAATAACCTCTTATACACAGGTTGGTTTATTTTTCAATGATTTTAATCACAATTAATTTCATACTGTTAGAGAGTGTTGAAAATATGGTGAGAACTTCTCTCCTTACTTACTTCATTACCAATTTCTCATAATATTGTAATAACTCTGACTGATCAAAACCTTCAGGATCGTTCAGTAAATACTTCCTTAGATATAAATCTTGAAATCTTTTCATTTTTTCCTGAAAAGTTAAACATAAATTGGTAATCAATCATCTCAGATGTCCCCTCCCTACTTTTTTTCGTTGTTCAATTGCTCATTTCTCCCAGCATCACTTCAGATTAATCATCTAATATTCAACAATCATCCATATATATATATTTCTGATTTCAGTGAGTTATTAATACATTAAGCAATTGATGAAGTCTAGATACAAATTAATTTATTTTTTGCCTGAGAAAGATATTTGTTATCATAACAGCTATATGATGTAAATAAAAGCTGAAGTGAATTTATGGTAATGCTAAGCACTTCATACCTTTTTTGGGAAGGTTAAACTTGTTCTCTTTCATTTTTGCTATTAAATGCAATCAAAACCAAAATTCAATACTTATCTTACTCATCCTAACAGCGTCAATGGCTAAGTAAATAAATCAGAAGGAAATAATAAACTAAAAAAAAAATAAGAAATTTTTTAAAGAATTTTTTAATGAAATAAATTAAGATATATGTTTTCAAGTTTCAAGATGTAAGTGCTAAAATGTTTAAACATCATACTCAATGTTAATTTCATCAACAAGAAAAGAAGCTAATGATTACATACAGGGGCGGTTTCAGGCGGGGGTGTGGCGGGCGTGCGCCCCCTTAAATATGCAAAGCATGGGTTGTCCTCAGCTTAATAAAGAAAATTTCGATAATTTTACCTCCAAAAATTTTTTGCCTTCCCCCGCTCTACAAAAATTTAAGTTTGCGCCCCCCCTAACCTAAAATCCTGGATCCGCCCCTGACATAATTTGCTATTTAATTGTCATTATGTGTGATACATCAAGACAGACTTATGTGATTTTGAATTTAATCAAAAGAAAAGATTTTTTTCTGAAGCTTTTCATGACTTTAAAGATATTTCGATATATTGTTGAAAATTAAAAAAAAAAAAATTTTCTCAAAGAATGACTTATTGTGGATTCCCTTATTTTCATGGTGATAAATTTTCTTGGATTGAGGAAAAATTTTATTTTCATTGATGACATAGATATTTCTCGACTTTATATCATTTTGATAGCATAAAATGCAAAGGTTTGAATTTATATTGTCAATACTTTATTAAGCTAGGTAAGCAAAACATTCAAAGTCAATAAACCATGAATGAAGGTGTATGGCAAAAAAAAACTGAGGGGAAATGAGAAATGCCAACACTAATACAACTGTACAAAAATGACTTATCATAAGTGGTTCCCTTTAGACTTACTTACAGTACATGTAACCTATTCAAAAGTTTCAAAGTCAATAAATAGACCATAAGGGGGCAAGGTCAAATAATCTCCATAGAAATGCTTTTACAACAGCATACCAAATATAATTTTTAATTGTATTACTAGAAGTGGTTCAACTTAAACTGACCATACCACAACTTTAACATGTAAACTAAGCAAAAGTTTCAAGGACAATAGACCATACCTGTCAACTGACACGTATCCTGCAGTTCACACCAGAGAATTTCACCCCATACCCGGTATTTTTTAAATACCCGCCGCATCGTTAAATAACCTGTGAATTCAGAAAATGACCCATTTTCACCCGGATTCTTGAGCCTTTAGACTGATTTCAGAAGTGATTTTTCTTTGAAATACCGGCAAATTCGTAATTCTTCCTGGACAGGAAGTTCAACTAGCTGTGTTAACTGTCAAATTAAATGACCTATTAAGTGCATGGCTTCACTTGACAGCTTTGGTGTCAAACATACTGTTAACACCAATTACCTTAGCTTAAGGTCATAAATAATTTGTCTATTTCAAAGTTGTTTGACAATAAATTTGAGTTACTTCCCCTTTTTTGCCACTTTTCACAATATACTCCTTAATTTTATGTTCTTTTTTTTTGTAAAAAGATTAAATCTAAAACAAATTGAATGGAAATACATATCAGAATATTATTTTCTTTTATTTTTCTACCTTAAAACGATTCAAAAATTATTTTGAAAATTAATTTTTTTATCTCTACTTCCTTTAAATGCTTACGGGTAATTATTTTATTACATTTACATATCAACAAGCTTAGAGAAGTTGCACAGAATGATACATACTAGGAAACAAGTAGTTTGGGAATAGATATAATACTATGAATTAAACAAGGCGAGGGGGTATGGCTTGGCTTGGCTTGTCATGATAAAGTATAACACAAAAATATTTCAATGGCTTAAAAATTAAAGCTTTAATTATTTTCAGTTAATACTTCACCATGTGAACATATTTAGGAAACTGTTCCGATTTGAAATATAAAGAAATGTCCCCTAAATACTTAAATTCAGCTGAAAAAAAGTTTGTATGCGTTATGACCTGAGATTTTCTTCTTCAATGCAGGTCATGAGATGCATTTTCATTTTCATAGGTTGACAGGTATGCAATAGGCCATGACTTAGGGGGCAGGGCAAAATAATGAGCCTCCTCATTGGGTTTTTGATTATGTGATTATTTGGCCATTTTTATAGTGATTATTTGATTACCAGACCAAATATTTCATGATTATTTGATAATTATGACTGTTTTTTTGATTATTTGATTATCTTGTTTGAAAAAAATAATTAATGATTATGTGATTATATTGGCAAAAAATTTGTGATTATGTGATTACTTGGACACCCCCATGAGGGGCCTCAATAATCTCAATGGAAATGAGATATGCCAATGCTGACACAACTGTACACCAAATATCATTGACTTTGACTAGTGGTTCCCCTTAAAGTGACCTAATCACAAACTAAAACATTAAAAAATCGACTTGCTCGATATACCTAGAAAATTTATTGAATTATTCTGCTCTATACTTACATCTAATTTTTTGTCAAAAAATTCATATTCTTCTTGACATAGTTTCTTGTGAAAAAAGCATTTAAAGAACCTCTTTGATCCTGACCCAACCATTATCACTTACATTTTTCATGTTAAACATCCTACAAGTTTGAATAAAGACCTATTACACCCCCAAATAACTTAATTTGCAGGACAATTCACATTTATGACCAAGGAATACAGTAAATTGTGTTTACCATTAAATAAAAGTTGCCTTCATGTCCAACTATCTCTTCCATTCCTGCCATCATATGATCTGTTACCTAAAATATACATTTTATATGATATTACAATCAGGACCAATCTACTTCATACAAATTACATACTAATGGTCATTTCTACATAGATCATTCCAGAAACTGGTTCTTTTCAGATTGTTTTAGAAACCATTTCCTCTAAATATCAGCTGTTGATTATTTACTGGTCTTAGCATTCTAGTAATGTGTGCATGCATTTGTTTTGTCTACTTTTTAAAGGTTCCAATATAATAGAAACAATCTGAACAGAACTCACTTAGTTTATGTCAGGATATTTGCATTATGAAAAGTGGCTGTCCCTATGAATACAAAATTTTAAATATTCATACATAAAGTTTAGGCCAAAGTGACCTAAGTTTTCTACAAGACTTTATTACCATCCAAGATCCTGTCCTTTGATAAAATGTCAATCCTATATGCCATTTATAGCACAGATCTAGATCTTGCATCTCAAGGATACTTTAACTTTTTATAGAACTTAGTTATTAACATGGACATGTCCACTGACAATAAAATAATTCATTTGTTACTCAGATCTCCACTTTACTGCAGAACTTAACCAGGCAACTAATGCATAAAGTATAAGTTAAGATCACCTTATTTGTATTGATAGCTCCATTTCAGCAAAGATAAATACATATTTCAGCTATGACTTTCAGTTGCTAAGATCTATGCCTCAACCCAAAACATAACCATAATCATTCTTGTGTGATGATTTTATATCTTAGGTTAGATAGTTTATATAAGTTACAGTTCGGCAGAAGCCTTATTTTATTTATGTATTTGTATATACTTTGATAAAACATAGAAAAGAATAAGATATTTGGGGGGTAAACCTTGGGTCAGGCCAAATGTGAAGGGGTGTTCCAAAGGAATCACTACTGCGAGTAATTAGGCACTTAGGAAGAACACCCCTCCTTCAAGAATGGTATGACTACCATTGTAGTATATAAGCAGGTGCGATTCCTTGCTCTCTCTGGTGAATAGTTGTCTCATTGGCAATCATACAACATCTCCTAATTTCTATATTAATAGGGATAATGGTTGAACAATAGAAGAAGGGCATCATGTACAAATCTGTATTACTTAATCTTTTTTTTTTATTTAACAATATACCCCTATATGACCAGTATTGACATATATACAGTAAACATTCTTCTACCAGATAAGAAATTTTTCAGCATACATACCTTGCAGTTCAACTCATCATACATACCTTGCAGTTCAACTCATCATACATTTTAGGCTCAACATAGGTAGCAAGTTTAACTCTTAATTTGTTCACCAATGGTTTGATTGTTGCCCCCTAAAGTACAGAACAGTAGGAATTAAATACCAATAAGTTTGTGTATCTTTAACCATTCATAATAAACGATGACATCAAGAATTCATATCTTGTTTATATAAAAAAAAAATCAAAACATTAATTAACAGTCACTTTATGGTAAATTTGTGCTGAATTTTTACCATAAAATTTCATGTCCTTCAATGAAATCGCGAGTCAACATATAACAAGCAAAAAAATTGACTCCTCTTTTTTAAATTTGTAATTAAAGTTAATTAAATCAAATTGACAGTTATTGCAATCATTAAAATCAAAAGGGAGCTTCATGTCTGCAAATTTTTATTTGTATTAAAATTTCAGGAAATTAAAGCCAATTAGAGATAGTATACAAAGTGTAGATGGACAGTTACTTTTTGGATGAAGTAAAAAAACTCTGGAACAAAATGTCATAAATCATAAACAGAAGTAGCTTTTATTGGTTCTGGTTACACTGACAATTTCATGCTATTCTGTGAAGCCCCACAGTTCCAAAAACAAGGATCTGTACTTTCGCATATACATTTATGGTGAAATACATAAGGTTTGCTGGTATTGAAATTAGGTACAAATATTTAAAACAAAAATTAGAGAAAGTAAGAAATAACAATCACTGAGGTGTAATGAAAACTTACCTGTAATGGAAACTTACCTGAACAAACACTGAGAATAAGATAACAGTTAGAGTGGCTGTTACAAAAAGGTTTTTGGTTTCAGTTGGAAAGTCCTCTGGTTTTAATAAGGCAACAAGTGAAAAACACACTGCACCTCTCAAGCCTCCATAACTCTGTTTATAATCAAAATAAATATATTCAAAATCATAATTATAAAAATATTTAATGTTTATTGCTACATTATCTTAAAATCCTACTGGATGAATATCAGCAATAATAAATGTTTGATGGTAATAAGCATTGTGTGTATATAAGTTTCATAACATTTTGGTGTGGCAAAGTAAAGTAAGAGTGTGGAAACGGCAAATTAAACAATTTTTCCATTTATCAAGGGACATAACTCCAGAATGGTGAAAGTGACACCACCCAAATTCAAACTTGATCTGTGTTTGGAGGTAATAAGCATTCTGTATAAGTTTCATAACATTTTGGTGTGGCAAAGTAAAGTAAGAGTGTGGAAACGGCAAATTAAACAATTTTTCCATTTATAAAGGGACATAACTCCAGAATGGTGAAAGTGACACCACCCAAATTCAAACTTGATCTGTGTTTGGAAGTAATAAGCATTCTGTATAAGTTTCATAACATTTGGTTGAGGCAAAGTTTAGGAAGAGTGTGGAAACAACATATTCACCAATTTTTCCAATTATAAAGGGACATAACTCAAGAACAGCAGTGACACCATCCAAATTTGAACTTGGATGGAGAGTTGTCTCATTGGCACTCATACCACATCTTCTTATATCTAAATACTGACAAAGGTTTGACAAAGTTATTCATTTCTAAAGAACTTTTATTTTAGACTTATTTACATGTTAACTGTAAAAAAAAACTTTGTCCATTTATCAGAAAAGTACGGGAAAATGAAAAATAATATTTTCAAAATTTTGCTTTGGATACTGTCTTTTGATCATAAATAAGCTTCTGTCCAAGTTTCTTAAAATAACATGAAGGATTGATAATGTTATTGATGTTTAAAAAAAACTTCAACTATAGACTGAACTTAAATGTTCATTTGTCGACACTATCTTTTGCAGTTTTGAAGTTTCAGAAGAGGAATTTTAAAATTGACCTATCCAAATCAGAGATTGCCTATTGTGGGTGAATTTTCCCTTAAATATTTTCTAAATGGCATTGTAGTAGTTTCAGAGGAATAAATTGAATGTAAAAATGTGAAATGTGAAAATTATCAGATAACAGATTATAAGTCATGTGAGCTTATAGTGACTTGAAAAAATAAATATCTTAAGACTAGATAAAGATATATAGATATGTTAACAGCATTATACAAGACAATGATTATTATTTATTAAATTACAATGATCATATAAGCTTACACCAGTAAAAATAAATACAATCTTACCATGATAAACATTTCATCTAAGGTAATTCTTCTAACTCTTGACCGGTCAAATCTATTTATGGCTAAAGAAAATAAGTATGTATCTGGAAAAAAAATAGATTCATATGAAAATAAATGGAGAATGTGTCCATGGGACACAGATGATGCACTTACTTGCATATAACGTTATTAAGGGGCATAACTCGAGAATGGTAAAAGTGATGCCACTCAAATTGATCTGTGTTTTGTGGTAATAAGCATTGTGTATAAGTTTCATAACATTTGGTTGAAGCAAACTAAAGTTAGAGAACAGAAACCAATTTTGGGACGTACATACGGATGGATGGACTGACAGACGGACGGACAGACGGACGGACAGGGGTAACACTTAATGCCCCCTCCAGTGATGGCTGGGGCATAAAAAAATGCCCAGAATAATCATGGATAAATTGGTGTTTAATGTACAATGAAAAATACTGCATGCCTATCATGTGAAAATGTTAATGTGATGTGAATATGAAGCAAGTGATGGCAATAGCTCACATGGTCCATAGACAAAGGTGAGCTAATAAAGTAAAAGGAGAAGACATTCATGCCATTGAACATCAATCATAAAATACCCATTTTTTTGTTAATAGGTGAGCCAAATATATTTACACCAACATTTAGGGGATGGCCAGGTGTATATTTTACATATGGAATGTTCCTTTTCATATGTTGCTACTCATGCTTTGTTTTTTCATCTACATTGTACAATGTGCAAGAATTTATTTTCACAATTGTACACTATTATTTCCTGCATTTTGTGTTGGAGAATATTCATTTTCATCCTGTCTTGGGCAATTCCCTTCCAAAATACCCCTCCACCTCAAGAAAATCAAATGGTCATCCCCTTAACCCTAAATATAATTTTTTCAAGCTACAGTTACTGCTAAATTGTGAAAAAAATATTTCACACCATTGTCTTGAACAAATGTTTAATTATTATTCTCTTATTCTACAACCTGACTATATAAAGTTCTGATTTTAGTCATCATCATTTTACTACAATCACATTTAAGATGACTGATTCAAAATTAGCTTCAAAATATGTATCCTGTTAGGTCAAAATCTCTTAATATTAATGTACAAATATAGATTCTACCTCTGTTGAGTGGGATAAGATATTTCTGCACTTGTGGCAGTTAAATTTTAAAATTTATAATTTAACTGTCAAGAGTTGAGAAATTTCATATTGCACAAGATTTGCATGTGAAATCTGTTTCCTAACTGATTGTTAGACAATATGAAGGCAAAGTTTATCTTTCTTCTTCAATGATCTTCAAAAACATGTGTCTTTTCTATAAGACGTCATCGGGCATGTTTGACTTTTTACATGAAGTCACAATAGCAACTCATATAAGGCGAGAAAATTTGAAATCATAATAGAATTTTGACAAAGGAAAAACTGAGATCAAACAAACCACACTTGGTTATTAAAACAATCAGCTGGTAAAGGAAGGTATTGATTGGTTAAGATCTTTTGAGTTGAGACATTTGCAACTGATTTTTACAGTTTGTTCTTATGTTGTGCTGTTACACAACTGTTATAGGTTAGAGGAGGGTTGAGTGCTCACAAGCAAATTTAACCCCCACCACATTCTTTATGTGCCTGTTCCAAGTCGGGAGCCTGTAGTTAGTGGTTGTCTTTGGCTCATGTCTCTCCCTTTTGTTTTTCGTAAATTGTTTTGTTATAAATTAGGCCATTTGTTTTCTTGTTCGAATTGATTCACATTTTTCATGTCAGGGCCTTTTCTGGCCCACTATACAGTATCGGTTTTTCTGATTATTGAAGGCCAGCACAGTGGCCTATAATTGGTTATATCCACTTCATTTGAACTTTGGCAGATAGTTGTCTTATCTATAATTATACTACATCTCTTTATTTTTCTAAGAATAACAATAATCTCATTACTCTTTAAACTTTACCAAGATCCTGCAGATGTCAACAAAATAAACATGATTATACTTACAAAAGAATCGAACGATTATACAAAGAAACAATGTCCATAAAATAAACCCTGTCTCCCATCGATGGTTATCTCTCACTAACAACAGTCCCAGGAACATAAATATAATAATTTCTGTTGTTGAGCTGTAATGATAAAGTATTTATATTGAATAAAAACACTGCCATTTTTTAATGATTACTGACAAGACTTGCTACCAATAAAAATAATTAGCTTGCCTTAGTTGATGCATGTGTCATCATTTATGACAATAAGTAAATACATGTATATAGAAATTTTAAAATTCACATAATTAAACATTTATCTTTATGTAGATATAGGTACTATGTTAACATGTAAGATGCATTTTTTGGCAAATCTAACATCAAAATGTAGAATTTGTACTATATGAAGAGATGAGAATTAAAGTGCTGATGAAATATAAAAATTCATAAGGGGTTCTGCGAACCCTGTGTCTTGCCTGCAATTGCTGCTGTCAGTGTAAAAGTGTAAAGTTGACTTAAAAAGTGAGTCCATTTATCAGTAAAATACAGAGTTTCAAAAAAAATTCCAACTTTTTCTTTAGATGCTATTTCTTGGTCTTGAAGATGAGCTTCTGTCCAAATTTCATAACAATCCATGAAGGTTTACAAATTTATTATTTAAAAAAAATTTAATCCCAGACTGTCTGTAAATGTTAACTGTAAAAAATGAAGTCCATCTATCAGAAAAATACTAAAAATGAAAAAAATATATTTTCAAAGGTTTTCTTCAGACATTATCTCTTAATCATTAAAAAGCTACTGCCAAAGTTTCATAAAACTCTATGAAGGTTTGACAAAGTAATTGATGTGTACCAAACATTAACCCCAGACTGTATCTACTTGTTAATTGTAAAAAAAACTAAGTGCATTTGTCAGTAAAATACGGAAAAATGAAAATAAATATTTCCAAAACTTTGCTCTGGATACTATATTTTGGTCATAAACAAGCTTCTGTCCATGAAGCTTTGACAAAGTTATTTATGACGGAAAACTTTAACTTCAGACTGAGCCTGAGTGTTAACTGTAAAAAACTAAGTCCATTTATCAGTAAAATACGGAAAATGAAAATAAATAACAGGTATTTGTAAAATTTTGCTCTGGATACGTCTTGTTGTCATAAACAAGCTTCTGTCCAAATTTATTAAATTCCATGAAGGTTTGACAAAGTTATTGATGACTGAAAAACTTGAACTTCAGACTGAGCCTGAGTGTTAACTGTAAAATAAACTGTTAACACAGAGATATGTCTTGCCTATTTGTTATTTTGATAATGCAAATGTTGAACTTAAAATAGCAATAATTTAACATGTAAGTTATGCAAATATTCAAAGTCAATGAACCATGACTGAAGGTACAGGGCTAAACAATCTCTATGGAAATGAGATGTGCCAATGCTAATACAACTGCAAACCAAATACCATTGACTTTTCATAAATCGTTCCCTTTAAACAACCCTAAACACAAACATTAACTTGTAAACTATGTAAAAGTTTCAAAGTCAATGAACCATAATTAGGGGTGTGGAGTTATATAACTCCATGGAAATGAACCTTGCAAATGCCAATACATTTGCATACCGAATATCATTGACTTAAAATTAGTGGTTCATCTTAAACTGACCTAATCACAAACTAATACATGTAAACTAAGCAAAAGTTTCAAAGTCAATAGACCATGACTGAGGGGTAAGGACCAAATAATCTCCATGGAAAATGAGATGTGCTAATGCTTATACAACTGCATACCAAATATCATTGACCTACCACTAGTGGTTCCCCATAAACTGACCTAATCACAAACTAATACATGTAAACTAAGCAAAGTTTCGAGGTCAATAGACCTTGACTGAGGGGGCAGGGCCAAATAATCTCCATGGTAATGAGATGTGCCAATGCTAATACAACTGCATACCAAATATCACTGACCTATCACTAGTGGTTCCCCATAAACTAACCTAATCACAAACTAATACATGTAAACTAAGCAAAGTTTCAAAGTCAATAGACCTTGATTGAGGGGGCAGGGCCAAATAATCTCCATGGTATTGAGATGTGCCAATGCTTATACAACTGCATACCAAATATCATTGACCTACCACAAGTGGTTCCCCATAAACTGACCTAATCACAAACTAATACATGTACATGTAAACTAAGAAAAGTTTCAAAGTCAATAGACCTTTACTGAGGGGGCGGGGCCAAATAATCTCCATGGTATTGAGATGTGCCAATGCTAATACACACTGCATACCAAATATCATTGACCTACCACTAGTGGTTCACCATGGACTAGACCTAATCACAAACTAATACATTGTTGTCACCGCTGCCACCGACGTCAGAAACAGCATACCTATGTCTCGCTTTTTGACTCCGTCAAGGCGAGACAAAACTAAGTCCATTTATCAGTAAAATACGGAAAAATGAAAATAAATTTTTGTAAAATTTTGCTCTGGATACTGTCTTTTGGTCATAAACAAGCTTCTGTCCAAATTTTATCAAATTCCTTGATGGTTTGACATAGTTATTGATGACTCAAAAACTTAAAACCTCAGACAAAATCTGAAGTTAACTGTAAAAAAAAACTAAGTCCATTTATTAGTAAAATACGGAAAAATGAAAATAAATACTGTATTTTGGTCATAAACAAGCTTCTGTCCCAATTTCATAAAATTCCATGTATGTTTGACAAAGTTATTGATGTCCAAAAAAACTTTAACCAAAGACTGAACCTAAATGTTGACGCCGCCGACGACGAAATCTAGGATTGCTATATCTCACTTTTGAGAAATAAATTTTGCAAAAATGACCTGAATCTATTAACACAAACTGTAAACCATCACTTTTTCGAAAACTTTAAAGAATCTTTATATCAGTTAAAAATTATGAAATTGCAGCGGTATGTTTATGTTTATATATACCACTATGTGTTGTTTGACACTGCATCTAGGTGGATTTTTGCAGATTGAATCTTCATTTCCACCTGTTGGCAGGTACTAGGACAGCTTATTCATTTTGAACTGCAAAGTCTGGCAAATATTTATTGATTTCGATTTTGTACAGAATTAGTTCCTGCATTTTGTAAGAGAAAATTTTAGTTTTTTATGTGATTCGGGCAATATTCTTAATTTTCAGTTCTTAAAAGGCTCGGATATTCATTTCAAAAATATTTCAATAACAGTCTGATAACATAAATATAAGAACAAACAAACAATTAATAAACAAAAACTGTATTAAAGAATGCTTGCAGTTATTGATAACAAGTTTAACCTTCTAAGAAGGTACAGAGCACTTCACAGTATCCTAAATTATGTCAATATGAAGCAATAATTGTTGATTGGGTCTTGATTACCCATACTGTATCTTCTCATGTCTGGGACATGTTCCAAATTCTATACATGTATCTCATTCTAGCCAATTGAGTTCCAGCCACATCATACAGCAACCAATCAGAACCAATATTTGTTAAGTAGTAATTTCAAGATGACGTGAATGAAACTAACAGCTTCACACCATAAGAAGCATTAACCTGCATACTGATATGAAATCTTACACTCATATCCATGACTGTACTTCCCAATAGATTTCATACAGAAAAGTCATAATTAAAACAGGAAAGCACAACATTAAGCAATGCAAAACAACAAAAATGACATTTTAGTCTTGGCTCAAACTATAGATAACAAGAATTATTTACACAATAGGTTCCTTTCTGATCTTTCACAATATATCATGGGTAATAACTAAAAGCAAAATATAAATAAATTTTCAAAATTTTTTGTCCACATGTGACCTTGATATATGAATATAAGGTCATGTAAAAAGTATCTTGTATCTAGTTAAGTTCACAAATAGAATAATAATGTATAATGTGTTAATACTATGCAATAAAATTCTGATGGACATGAAGACCATAGAATAAGTCCTTTAGTATACACTAATCTGTTAACTAGCAAAGGTTGAAAAAACATAGAATAACTAAGTCTTTTAGTATACACTAATCTGTTAACTAGCAAAGGTTGAAAAACCATAGAATAACTAAGTCTTTTAGTATACACTAATCTGTTAACTAGCAAAGGTTGAAAAACCATAGAATAACTAAGTCCTTTAGTATACACTAATCTGTTAACTAGCAAAGGTTGAAAAACCATAGAATAACTAAGTCTTTTAGTATGTTTTCATTAGTTAACTAGCAAAGGTTGAAAAACCATATGCATACAATAACTAAGTCTTTTGGTAAACCACTTATCAGCTACACATGTAACTAGCAAAGGTTGAAAACCATACAAAATCTAAGTCCTTGAGTAAACAGTAATTAGTTAACTAGTAAAGGTTGGAAGACCATACAAAAACTAAATCCTTAAGTGTACCTATAATTCAGTAACTATTAGAAGTTAAAATAAATTTGAGTGGTAGGAATAATAGTAATAATATTCTTTATTGAATATATGTTATTAACCTACACATAGTTTTCCTTTACCTTGTTTGTATTTTTAACAGACTGCAAGCTAAATATATCTATATGGATATGCTAAAAAAAAGCAATGCACATGCATAGGTCATGCATAAATGAATTCTTTTTTATGCCCCCGCCACTAGGTGAAGGGGGCAATAAGTGTTACTCTTGACAGCCTTTCTGTATGTTCTTCCGTACGTCCCATTTTCGTTTCCACACTCTATAAACTTAGCTTTTCCTCATTCAAACTTTATGAAACCTACACACAATGTTAAGAACCAAAACTTGCAGACAGAGTTTGAATTTGGACAGTAAGTCACTGCCCCTTTATAACTTGGAAAATGACAAATTGTTCAGTTTCCACACTCAAACTTAAGTTTGCATCAACAAAATTTTATGAAACTCAAGAACCATAACACACAGATAGAGTTCCAATTTTGGCAGTGAGTCATTTTCTGTTATAGAGTTATGCCCTTTTTAAATTGGAAAATTGCAAAGCTTGAGGGGGGGGGGGGGGGCATTCGTGTCCTCAGACAAATTCTTCTTTTATTTTCATATGTTATAATGGAATTGATAAACCAAAATATACCAAACAAATCTTTAAGTTTCTTTCAGGCAATTAATTTATTTGCAATAAAAAATTAGTCTAAAAACTACTAAAAGCTTCCCATCTAAACCAACTTTTTCACATGCTAATCGTAAATAACAAAACAATGGCATTGCTTTCTTGATAACTTGTTAAAAAAACCAACACAAAATAAAATGAAAACCTTCAACAATGATGTTAATAGCTAACAAGGGTTAAATTACATTCTGATTACAGTGTACTCTCATCAAAATAATCACAGTGATGCAAGTTACCTCCATTAATTCTGCAATTCAATAGTCAACTTTAAATTATATATACTAGTCTACAGCAATCGTTTAACAGTAATGTTTTTTAAAGATCTGTATTGTCATTTTTAAATGATTTGTAAGCAATTGATGAATATGTCCGATACTGTTAATGACCCATTTTCACACAACATCTCATATATTTTATTCCGTTATCTTCCAAAATTTTACAATCTTAAGATGACTGCCAGATGGTTGAAGAGAAAAGAGGAAATTTCATGACCTACTTGCAAGCCAAAGAGGCCATTAGAAACAATACATAGAGTAAATCATTTTTTAATGAGAAGAAATTTGGATTAAAACATAATTTATGTTATGATTTTAATATGGTATTAAATGAACTCTGTCTTATATTTTGACATTAACTACTGCTAAAAAGATGTAATGAGTTTGCTATTGAAAAGTTTAAACATACATCACCATTTAGTCAGTCATACAATATATTCTAAATAATTTGCTATGGTTGATTGGGGTATACCAACATTACTCAATTGTCTGTTGATACATTTCACCAGTTAGTCATGTTGATTTGAGGTATTTTTGTACTTTTTTAATTCAATTAATTTCAAGGCTATAACATGTATATCAAAAGATTACAGATGATTGTAAGCTTTCTGAAAAGACTATAAAAATGAGAAGTATTTTGATGCAACATGAACCTATGACATAATTACCTCATTACTCTGGTAAAGTATTTTATTGCTGTGCAGGACTTCCTGTTTAAGTTGTTGAAGGCATATGCCACTTGTATTAAACCACAGGCTATTATGCTACAAACATAGAGGTAAATAAACAAACCCGTTTTAAGTTTCACACAAGCAGACTACTTAAACATATAAACAGTATGTTGGATATATATCTTACTATCTACATTTTCTTCATTGGTAAGCATTTAAATTGCCAGAACAGTTTGTGTATTCACTATTCTTTGTAAGATGCTAAATTTTGTGTATTTCATTTGTAGTGGCAAAAATATGTGTAATACAAACCAACACAATACACTTAGAAAATTATAGAGGAAACTATTGAAAAAGTTTTTCTATTTAATTGTATGAACAGTTTGAAGAACATGTTACATTTACTAGATGCTCCAATCATACACTAGTACTGCAGGCTAACTGAATGATGAGATATGACATAACCTGTAGATTCTTATTATCTCATGACAATCTGTTTAAAAAGAAAATGGTGAAACTTAAATTCCTTGGTAATATCCAACCATGATATACACAAGCAGACTCAGAAAAACCATATATCAAAACCAATAAAGGTTATATCCAGCATATTGGGCAAGCTCACACCCAAATCACAAATGTGTTTATAAATTAAAGTGTCTGTATGGCAGATATTCATCATCTATTAAAGCCAATTGGTCTGAAAAATGAACTTTTAAAATAAAAGTTGAAACAAGTAAAATTTGAAAGTATTGCAGAAAATCTAGTTTACCTTATAATTCCTGAGAAATGGAACATTTCTGCCAAAATGAAGGCTAAATAAGCCATACCAAAAATGGCTACAGGTTCTACAACTGAAACAGATAAATAAAAATAATTAAAATTAACTTTGGTTTTGGTATTACAACCTTATCATAAAATATAAGTGTTATCCCAGAACTCCAGGTACATTTAATATTTAACTAAACTGAGGTTTTTGACAAACAAGAGCTGAAATGTCTCATCTACTTTAATGATCATGATTGAGTTTTGTGTTGACAGTATTCAAAATCAAGGTCTTACCAAGGATATCACATAAACTTAACATTATGAATGAACCATGACAATGAGGTAAAAGTCAGATGAACGTCAGATTGACAAGATATGAATTATACAGATCTTTTATTTTCTGAAATGTAGTCTTTACAAATAGTTTATGTCAGCCATTGATTAGCACACCCAATATCTCACACACATTCATTGCAGGTGAGACAAAAATGACAATGTTATTACTAGGATATAATGGACATGGTTTGCATGATCTCTTATCAATTTGATTACTTTTATATATATATTGATATCAAAAGTTGTGGTTCTTATAACTAAACATGAAACCTATAGCATGTTGTAAAGTGTGTATCTTTCTATTTAATTTAATGATTTCCTCATTCAGCAACTTATTTAATTTAATGATTTCCTTATTCAGCAACTTATTTAATTTAATGATTTCCTTGTTCAGCAACTTATTTAATTTAATGATTTCCTTGTTCAGCAACTTATTTAATTTAATGATTTCCTTATTCAGCAACTTATCTAATTTAATGATTTCCTTATTCAGCAACTTATTTAATTTAATGATTTCCTTGTTCAGCAACTTATTCAATTTAATGATTTCCTCATTCAGCAACTTATTTAATTTAATGATTTCCTTATTCAGCAACTTATTTAATTTAATGATTTCCTTATTCAGCAACTTATTTAGTTTAATGATTTCCTTATTCAGCAATTTATTTAATTTAAAGATTTCCTTGTTCAGCAACTTATTTAATTTAATGATTTCCTTATTCAGCAACTTATCTAATTTAATGATTTCCTTATTCAGCAACTTATTTAATTTCATGATTTCCTTATTCAGCAACTTATCTAATTTAATGATTTCCTTATTCAGCAACTTATTTAATTTAATGATTTCCTTGTTCAGCAACTTATTCAATTTAATGATTTCCTCATTCAGCAACTTATTTAATTTAATGATTTCCTTATTCAGCAACTTATTTAATTTAATGATTTCCTTGTTCAGCAACTTATTTAATTTAATGATTTCCTTGTTCAGCAACTTATTTAATTTAATGATTTCCTTATTCAGCAACTTATCTAATTTAATGATTTCCTTATTCAGCAAATTATTTAATTTAATGATTTCCTTGTTCAGCAACTTATTCAATTTAATGATTTCCTCATTCAGCAACTTATTTAATTTAATGATTTCCTTATTCAGCAACTTATTTAATTTAATGATTTCCTTGTTCAGCAACTTATTCAATTTAATGATTTCCTCATTCAGCAACTTATTTAATTTAATGATTTCCTTATTCAGCAACTTATTTAATTTAATGATTTCCTTATTCAGCAACTTATTTAATTTAATGATTTCCTTGTTCAGCAACTTATTCAATTTAATAATTTACTCATTCAGCAACTTATTTAATTTAATGATTTCCTTATTCAGCAACTTATTTAATTTAATGATTTCCTTATTCAGCAACTTATTCAATTTAATGATTTCCTTGTTCAGCAACTTATTCAATTCAATGATTTCCTTATTCAGCAACTATCAGGATAATGAACAAAATATTTTTCATCTGTAATATTTTTTTTAACAATCACTGAATTGTTATCTTTTACACAACCATCCTACATCATTTTCTGAACTAACATGGAAGTCTTACAGATGGTATACTGAAAGAAAGCATTTATTATTTGTCATACTCTTTATATATATATGTTTGTGTTACTGCAAATTAACAATGGTCATCTCTAACCTTTAACTTTATCAGTAAATCTGGTAAGTATCGATGATAGAATTCCACATATTACACCTATAGCAAGACCACCAATACATACAACTAAAAATTTCACTATTCCTAATATCACCTGGAAAACAAATATTTCAAACAATAATAGCCTTATTGTACCGGCATTATAATAAATAAGTTGTAATTAAAGTTCATTGATGTATACCCTTCACCTGGTTTTATTGAGGTACTGTTACTGCCAAATGCTGTCAAACTCACAACTCACCTGTTCATCTGGTCATCACTAATTTTTTTTTGTGAAAAGTTTTTCTTTGAATTCACCTAGTCATCACTAATTTTTTTTTGTGAAAAGTTCTTCTTTGAATACAGATGTATAACCTATTCATATAGTAAAGATTCATTTTATTTTTCGTGGGTACCAATTTTCGTTGATTGATGATTAATTGTATGTTCGATGATATTTGATTACATGGATTTGCCAAAGTCAGCATACAATCACATAGAAAATGTGTACTTCATTAAACATTTAAATTTGTGGTTAACTTATAATCACGAAAATTGGTAGCCCACGAATAATAACGAATCCACATCATAAATTCATATGCAAACTAAATAGGATAGTGGCATGATATTTCCACTTGATTAAGATGCCTTCAGTGAATGACTCCTTCTAAAGTCAAGTTTATCAGTTTGTGGCACACTTTGTTCACAGGTAAAACTATTTTAACCCCATCACATTTTATATCTGTACGAGTATAGGCTATCTGTACAATGTGTTGTTCATACATTTTTTTCTCCAAGGGTATCGGTATTTGGAGTTAGTCTGTTGTATTGTCCAATATTTTTTGGTAATTTCCATTATCCTTATTATGTATTATTATTATTTGATATGATAATCATTTTTCTGTTTACTGGATTAGTTATTCATTGTTTTTTTTAATAATAATTTAATTTTGGATGTAACGCGTCTTCTGATTGGCTGACGTTGTTTTGTTTATCAGCTCATAGACATAATTTTGTCATGTGACCGTGACGTCATCAACGTTTTTTCATGGTTTACTCCGGTTTAAAATGGAATTTAGAATTAAATTATAAGAAATGACTGTAATATTTTTTCTGTCTATTCGAAATAACATAAAAAATGTGGTGCACACTTTAAAATAACCCGCTACGCGGGTTATTCAGTGTGCACCACATTTTTGATGTTATTTCTTCATAGACAGAAAAAATATTACAGTCATTCCTTAAATAGGTTTAGTTATGCATAGGAGGAATCTTCTCAAAAGCTTTGAAAGTAAATTGAATACTTTTATCCCCAGACATTTACTTTTAACCCTACTAAAATCATATATATATCTGAAAGGATCATATACCTAGTCAATTGACATCTTTTATTTTCCTTTATGTTCTATTATTTTTTCCCTTTTGATTTTTATTATTTTTTTCCGTTTGTTTTAGTTTACAGTTTAGTTGGGTTTTTTTTCACTTTGTTCATTGTCAATACTTCCATAGTGCATACATTCCTGCAATCTGATTAAAATCTGATGTTGTGATACACTACAGAAAGTATTGTAGAGACAACTAACAGCTGATTTAATGAGATTGTACATTCCTGCAAAACTGATTTGAACTGCAACTCATTTCTGTAAAATATAAGGATCGTCAAAGAACATGAGTAAAATATTCTGTAATGCAAATTACACCTTACCTCCTTAGCTGTGATTGATCCACCTTGTAAAGCTATACTGTTATAAGACTGTAATACATTGTACAACACTACAGTCACACCATCTGTAAAAAAAAATCTATTTCTTATACGTTCTTTTTTTTCTTACGATATATAAAATTAGAGGTACCACAAGCAAAGCTCACTATATGATACCCCTGCCCACTATAAAGCAGTAGCAAAGTTCCTGATTAGTAAATAAAACCCTAAAAATATTTCGCAGATCAGATAACAAAACATAATAGGTGGTGAAAAATGGCATTATATGGTGAAGATTCTGAAAAAGTTACAATAAATTCTAGTAAGGGGTTTAAAAGGAGTTGCAGACACAAAATGGGTACCCTAGATAAAGCATAATTCTATGATTTGCTAAGGGAAACACCAAAACATAATTCAGATCATAAGCAAAATAAGAATTGTACAAAAGCATTATATGGTGAAGATTTTGAGAAGGTTTTGGTAAATTCTAATAAGGGGTTTAGAAGGAGCTGTTAGATACCAAAGGAGTACCTACAGATAAAGCAATGATTAATTCCTGGATTTGCTAAGGAAAACCCCAAAAATATTTATTTTAAATAATGTCACATTTACACCTGTGCGTAGGAACTATTTTGTTTTAAATATGTACTACTTTCCAGTATGTTCTTTTTCGACCGGGACCGATTGGGTGGTGTTACATCTTACAAAGTCTATCTAAATTATTTTTGCAAAGAATTCAGCTTAAGCCGGTGCTTGGGGCCATCTTAAACTTGCAGTGAGGTGAGAGTTTTTTTGCTCCGTGTTGAAGTCTTACTGTGACTTTGAGATGAAGAACAGCAATAAAAGCAGTTCCTTTTGCTTTGTGTATGCTTTTTTGTTGTGCATTTACTGATTTTGTGTCATGGATGGATACCCCATATCTTTTGTTTTTTCTATTATATTAACAGAGTTTGTTTCTCTTGCCGTGAGGAGGCCATAGAAAGTTTCCCTGTGCTTGATATGTATGCTATTCTGTATTTTTAAAGTTATGGTGTATTTATTCATTAGATAACTTCTCTTATGTGTTCTCTCAATTTAAAGACAGTTTATTTACTAAAATTTTAATAAGACGAACACCACCTATTTTTGGCCCTCATTCCTATCCACGTTAAATTTTTCTCTTCAAAACATTTTATGGAAGTGGGATCAATATACTTGTATTTATACATCAGACCGTACTGCACTGGTTACCGGAATTTTTGATACACCAAACCAGGCACTTCATATCTGAGAAACAGGCTATATATGCCCTCAAATTTAGAATTCATTCATACATTTTTGTATTATTCAAAATTATCAGTAATTAAGTGTTCTACAAGGATCACCAGTCCTTCACCTTTCATCGGATACCTTAATTACTAAAATATATGCTACATCGTTTAAGATTTACACCTGTGCGTAGAAACTATTTTGTTTTAAATATGTACTACTTTCCAGTATGTTCTTTTTCGATCGGGCCCGATTGGGTGGTGTTACATCTTACAAAGTCTATCTAAATTATTTTTGCAAAGAATTCAGCTTAAGTCGGTGCTAGGGGCCGTCTTAAAATTGCAGTGAGGTGAGAGTTTTTTTTAGCTCCGTGTTGAAGTCTCACTGTGACTTTGAGATGAAAAACAGCAATAAAAGCACTGTGCCTTTGCTTTTTGTATGTTTTTTTGTTGTGCATTTACTGATTTTGTGTCATGGATGGATACCCTATATCTTTTGTTTTTCTATTACAATAGCATTATTAGATGAAGGTTTTGAGGAGTTTCATTAAATTCTGATCAGGGGTTTAGGAGGAGTTTAAAATTCCAAATGCAAGTTATCATTTTGGAGAAAGTTATTCTGTCACAAAGTCCACAATAAAAAAATCTTTCTGTGTCATTTGGTCTCTTGTTTAGAGTTGTTGTCTCATTGGCAATCATGCCACATCTTCTTATTTATATATAGAAAAAATTTCTGAGCTTACAGTTAAGGTGGCTCGGCCCTTTAACAGTGCGCATATTTTAACGCATGTTACTAACGACGAGCGCCTTGGAAACGGTCGCCTTGAGGGGTTTTCTCAAAAATAGTTTTGACGACATTGGAACGCGGGCATGTATGAAAGCACCCTTTCCCAATGTCAACAAACCATGCAAAACGTTCTACAAAAGCCACAAACAGGAAATACGTACGGTCAGGACTACAGAGTGGTTTATTCATTTTTCACATAAAAAGGACAGAATTATACATGATATATTAAAGCATAACATTAAAAAAAAGGAAATATAAATATTGACTTGTACGACGGTATCTGGTGCGTTCGCTCCAAAAACACATTCTCACCCTACACGTTCGCCCCTTGGATCCGTTCGCACCCTATTTTCATTCAAATACTGGTTGAATATATCAAAAGATGTCTTTTAGATGTATTAGGTAGTATATATATGAAAATATTTTGCCAATGACGCAATGTTTAACCGTAAACAAAGGATAGCGATGTAAACTGCATGTCACCTTTCGGCTTTCAAAAACAAGTAAAATCCATATAGTATGCTATAGTATAACGGCATCGGGGTTCATCTGCACGCTATAAATAATAAATAAATAAAAAATAATAAATAAGCTTTATTTAGAGTCGGCAAAGTGTACAAACAGAGTCAACATAAGCTCTAAAGAGCTTTTAACCATTTTATCCGTTTGGCGTTTTATAACATTTTGTTACTGTCATAAATCTCTTTTTTACTTGAAATATCTTCATTTCCAAGTATTGCTGGGATCTTATTCCGGAGTATGTGAAATATTTTCCCACTGCAAAATTTTGATAATATATATAGTTACGTATTTTTTATTTGCCAAAAATTTTTGAACATAACAATTCCGGAGTATGGGAAATATTTTAACACTGCAAAATTTTGATAATAGTTAAGTATTTTTTATTTTCAAATTTTTTTTGGACATTACAATTTTCAAACAAAGACTAAATACGTGACAGTCACACATAACATTTTTATTTAAAGATTTATATACTTTATCAAATAATGGGCACAAAAATATCCAACAAATTTTCTCTTATCATGATTCTATGAAATTTGGAACTCTAGTACTATAACATGAGACCTCGGAGCCAATGTTTTCTATTTATAATATTTTCCTTTTACTTATTTTGCTATTTGTTAATTTTCTATTTTCTGTTGTATCTATCAATATGCCAACAGAGTTCGCTTTAAAAAAAGAAAGAGGAAATATCAGCGTAAAAACTAAAATAATTGATTAAGAATGAGTTATTATAATAGACTAACGGAACTCGAGCAACACATTTTTTGATTTACGCAGAAAAAAAACCGGACATTTCAATAATTTGCAGTTTTCAACCTTTGATCATGTAGATGAACATTGGTCAATAGCAACCGGGACCTTACTAGTATTCCGGCCTTATATATCGGTATATGCTATTATCCCTCAATACCACATGCTTTGCGGCGCAAAATATTTGGCTTGACCAAGTCGGGATTTTGCCTAGGACACACATCCGCAGTCTACCGGGCAGTTCCAAACACTACCAGTTAAAGACATTATATATACACAAAATCTATACTACTTACTAGGTTCAGGAAAAGTTGGGATTGTAATTTTAAAACTCCGCCCAGTACACAGGGACGCTATAATAGTCGGTGATATTGGCAAACTTTAACTTCTGTCTTACTTTTTGACATGCGTTTTTTTTCAAAAGGGAAGCCAATAAGGAAAGTTCTTGATTTAAAAAAATTAAAGTGGAGTGTGTCATTGCGGCAAGAAATATGCATGACAACTTTTTTAATGATGTGTGAACACTGGTTATGTGTATTGCAAAATAAATAAATATCGTATACAAATAGAAAAAAAAAAAGAATGAATGAGGACCCCCCCCCCTCTTCCACACCTGCTAATATTGACTTTTAAATTTGAACTTTGGTGGATAGTTGTCTCATTGGCAATCATACCACATCTCCTTATTTTCATATCGTAGGGTATAGAAATATGACTTCCCTAATCTGACAGATAATCCCTTGCTATGGCAGGGTGTTCATACAGCTGGATGTATAAATACCTCCGGGGGGGGGGGGGGGGGGTAGGAGGGGGCACTTCAATACTTAATTGATAAGGGGTGCCGCTGGGGCCCACCTTTTTCAAAAAGTTATATTTCAAAAATGTATACCTTTTCATATATTGCGTAGGTAAAAATGTAACCTTTTCCCTATAATGCTTGGGTTTCATGTAGTGTAATGTAAGACTAGAATACTAAAGTGTCAAAAGAGAAAATTTGGTTGATAAAATCACACCCGGGAACACCAAGAAAGATGACAGACGAAGAAGTTATGGAAACTTTATTGACCTTATCATATATTTTTGATAGTTTTCCCGACCTTTTCACAGATTTTCAAGCTTGAAGAGGTGACCTATTCCAGCGGCACGTCCCATCACCTTGAATATAGGAAGTGCCCCCTACCCCACCCTCACCTGAGATAAATACGCAGCCTCGTATGGTAAAAAGGAGGAATTTTGTCCATACCAAGCATGCATTGTCCATTCATTTTCTAGCGACAGTCCATATAATTTTTGTGTTAACAAGAGTGCACAAGCTGAAATGTCTCACCTGCTTTACTAATCATCATTCATGATTGGTTTTATGTTGATATTCCTAAAGATAAAGTTTCACTACAAGTATCAGAAAATTGATCAGATTAACCAATCCAAGCCAGCCTTACACAGTGGCGGAGCCAGAATTTTTCATGAAAGGGGGGAGGGTGACTGCCTAAGAGAGGCTTGCTCCAGTCATGCTTCAGTGATTCCCTATATAATCAACCAATGGGCCCTCCCCCTAAATCCGCCTCTGTTACAATCACCCCATCAACCAAATATTTTAAACATGTATATAGTATGCCAGTAACAGACAAAACCATGAACATAAGGTTAAGTTCAGATAGACCCTGCAAGACAGGCCTATTTGTTTTTCATTCATTATTTTGTACATAAATATGCCATTAGTTTTCTCATTTGAATTGTTTTAAATTGTACATTTGTCATTTGGAGGCCTTTTATACCC